ATGTATCTTTTTTAAAAAGATTATGTATCTTTCACAAGTATGTCTATTTCATAAAAGCATATGTTTTAATAAAGTTCTTTTCAGTATATGTGTAATGACATGGTTCTTCATTTACATTTATGTTGGGGACAAGCAGTTACATACTCGATTCTTTTTGGATAGGATAAGCCAGTTATTTTTTTTTTTGGGGGGGGGGTTTAGGCCGCAATTTCTGAGAGATTGAGGAGGCAAATTTCACCTGGAAATAAAAAATAGTTTTTTCCCAAAGCGTATTTCAGGACAGCTACATAAGAGATACTGGAAACGCAATACCAGAAACCATTAAAAAGCCCATCCCTCCCCCCTCTTCAATTATTATTGCATTTCTGCCCCTCCAGGTGAATACATTGTCCCGGTTTGTTGTTTTCCTTAAGTGGGTGATTGTGGTTACCTGCTTCTCTCTTAGCATTACCGTCCTGCTTTGTAGTAAGGTCCAGTAGTTTCTCCTACTGAAGGGCTGTACTATTGATAATTGCCTGGATCTCACTTCTCAATTTGCTGGGAGCCTCTTAGGGCCTTCCTCCTGCTGTGTCTCCATGTGCTGGACAAAGGGGGCTTTGGTGCCAGCTTGGGAGGGGAGGTTGAGGGTGTGCCGGGTGGTTAGTGCATCTGGTATCTCTTTTGTGGTGTTTTTCCCCCTAGGTGTCTGGATGCATCAATATGGCGCCGTTGCGTCACTTCTTGATGGTGGACAGGGCGGTGTTGTGGCTCCGGTGCCGTGGAGACACGCCAGGGCAACATTTTAAATACAAGAGGAACTGCAGATCAGGGCAGAAAGCTGTGGTGAACTAATCCCAGATTCTTTGTTTGGCAGAGGGCATGATCGGTGGCTTCCTGGTGGCTTTCCTGTCCCTGAGCTCAGCACCGTGCAGCACTACTTGTCCCAGCATGCAGGAGGTGGATGTGTTGGTGGGTAAATCAAGCATCTCTAAATCAAAAACCATTCTTCAGATGTGTCCAAGCCACCAACATCTGATATAAGGGGATCCTACCCAGTTTAGGAAAAACCAGGCCTTATGCGACTGTTTTTTTTTTCCTATATGCTTTTCCTAGGTTGCAACTGAACAGCCTTGAAAACTTAGGAGGAAATGTGGAAGCTGCGGTGCCAAGCTCTTGGATGCATACACTAAGAGGATATGCAAAAAGTGTATTGTGTCAGCAAGAGGGTCTGAGTCAGTCTCTTTTATTAACCACTTGCCTACCGGGCACTTTTACCCCCTTCCTGCCCAGGCCAATTTTCATCTTTCAGCGCAGTTGCACTTTGAATTACAATGCAACACTGTACCCATGTGAAAATTTTGACAATTTGTTTCACACAAATAAAGCTTTCCTTTGATGGTATTTAATCACCACTGGGGTTATTTTTGCACTATAAACAAAAAAAAGAGCAAAAAATTTGAAAAAAAGCTTCTTTGTTTCTATTATAAAATTTAGCAAACAGGTAATTTTTCTCTTTCACTGATGTGCGTTGATGAGGCTACACTGATAGGCAGCACTGATGGGCACCAATGAGGAGGCACAAATGATGCTGCACTGATATGCAGCAATGATGGGCACTGACTGGCGGCACTGCCTGGCACTGATGGGCAGCCCTGATTATCAGTGCAGATCTGCTTTTTGACATTTTGCTGGTTATCGGCAGTACTTTCTTCATGTTGTGACAGCTTGAGGAAAGTGCTGCCAATAACCGGCAACTGTATTTACTTTGTGATCAGCTGTGTCATTGGACACAGCTAATCACATGGCAAAAGACTGCTGTGATTGGACACAGCAATCACTGACAGCGCTGGGTGCGAGCGGCTAAGGGCACATTCTGGGTGGACATCATATGACGCCCTACCAGAATTGGACAACCGTGCTCTAGCATTTTTTTTTGTTCTTTCCCACAGGCATTCCATTTTTTCCATCAGTTCAGTTATGTTTTTTCAAGAAAAAACATCAGTTTACATCAGTTTTTCATCTGTTTATATCTGTTTTTTGTCCATTTACATCCGTTTTCATCCATTTTGGTTTTTTTAAACAGAAGAAAAATAGGGTCTTCTTCAGTTCAAAATAACAGATGTTAACGGGTGCGCACATTAACGGATGTAAACAGATGATCATCCATTTACATCTGCTAGTCCATAGAAATACATGGGTGTCCGTTTTTCATCTGTACATGGACAGATGAAAAATGGACATATGGAACGCCCGTGTGAAAGAGGCCTAAAGTGGTTAAGGACTTTAAGAGCTCTATGAGGGATGAGATGATTTCTACATTCTGCTCAGTTAGATCAGCTGTTTCAGATATACGTACTTCTATTTCTCAGTCTGGTTCTCTTCCTAGTGAGTCCCACAGTCCCCTGGTGTTGGATTGGATATTGGATTGGTGGTGGCCTTGGATACTCAAACTGTTAGTTCCCAAGTTTCAGAGTCTGATGAGGAGAAAGCGTCTCCTTGCTCATCAGGGGAAGTAAGTTCAGAGGAAGAGTAAAGAGACACTTCGGAATATGCTAGCAGATTTCTTTTTTCAGTGGAAGAGTCTGATCAGTTACTGAAAGCTATTTATGCATCTGAGCAGATTGTAGAGGATCAGCCCACACAGTTTGCACAGAATGCTGTGCATAGAAGCTTGCAGAAAAGAAGGGCAAAACCTTTACGGTCCATAGATATTTTAAGGTCTTGATCCTCAAGGAGTGGAAGGAGCCAGGAAAGAAGTTGTTCCTTTCCAAATCTCATAAACTGAGTTTTCCTTTGGGAGCACAGGAAGAAATATACACTGTATTGCCAAAAGTATTGGGACACTTGCCTTTACAGGCACACAAACTTTATAATGGCATCCCAGTCTTAGTCCGTAGGGTTCAATATTGAGTTGGCCCACCCTTTGCAGCTATAACAGCTTCAACTCTTCTGAGAATGCTGTTCACAAGGTTTAGGAGTGTGCCTATGGGAATGTTTGACTATTCTTCCAGAAGTGCTTTTGTGAGGTCAGGCACTGATGTCGGACGAGAAGGCCTGACTTGCAGTATTTGCTCTAATTCATTCCAAAGGTGTTCTGTCAGGTTGAGGTCAGAACAGGCCAGTTGTGCAGGCCAGTCAAGTTCCTCCACCCCAAACTCACTCATCCATGTCTTTATGAAACTTGCTTTGTGCTCTGGTGCGCAGTCATGTTGGAACAGGAAGGGGTCATCCCCAAACTGTTCCCACAAAGTTGGGAGCATGAAATTGTCCAAAATTTCTTGGTATGCTGACACCTTAAGACTTCCCTTCATTGAAACTAAGGGGCCAAGCCCAACCGCTGACAAGTCCATTGGACTGACAGAGAAGCCTGATTCATTACTCTAGAGAACACGTCTCCACTGCTCTAGAGTCCAGTGGCGGCATGCTTTACACCACTGCATCTGATGCTTTGCATGCATGTGGTGATGTATGGCTTGGATGCAGCTGCTCGGGCATATATAATGTTGAAACCCATGGCCGCCTTTTGGCTTCAGGGCATTGCCATAGTTACCTACTTGGATAACTTTTTAGTCTTTTCTCAGACAGAGGGGAAGTTGATCATGGACCTGGAAGTGATAGTGACAGGCCTAAGGTCGCTTGGTCAATATGGACAAGTCCAACCTAATTCCAGATCAGACAATAGAGTTTCTGGGTTACAGAATAGACTCTGTTTCCCAGAAACTATTTCTTATAGAAGCAAAAATTCAGAGGTTAGTCTCCTCGGTTCCGTACCTCCAGAGTCAATGGCAGGTCTATCTGAGGCAGATAATGCAGGCTCTTGGTTTGATGGAAGCAGCCATACCAGGAGTCACATGGGCTCAGCTACACTCAAGAAAGTTGCAGTTCTTTTTACTAGCTCCTGGGATCACAAGCAGATCTCCCAGCATAGGGTTTGGATACTTTGTCTCTAGAATGGAGCTTCAATCTGGCTTACACTTTTTCCCATATATCTATTCTTCCACAGGTGATCAGGAAGATTGCGTTGAAATCCTGCCAGGTCATTCCCATAGCCCCATGCTGGCCAAGGAGAAGCTGGTTTGCAGCTTTAATGTCACTGTCAATTTCTCTTCCTTGGATACTTCCAGATTGATGAGATCTGCTTTTCCAGGGGCCAGTTCTCCACCCCAATTCTTGGTTCTCTCGCTTGATGACTTGGAAGGAAAAATTCCCTAGAGATAAGTGGTGCTCAGAAAAAAGTGAAAGACACCTTGTTGTGCAGTAGGAAGGTCTGCATCATGAAGATCAATTTTAAGGTGTGGAGAGCACAATCTGGGAGGTTGGACACCTCCATTCCCACTTTTCTGGAACTTTTTCAGTCTGGGGTACATAAGGGTTTAGGGTTTTGCACTTTTAAAAGTGCAGGTAGCTGCTCTGTGTTCCTAGATCTTAGATTAGCAGAAGACCCCCTGAGCAAGGAATTTCTGTTGGCAAGGCACAGGTGCACTCCCAGGGTTGTTAACCTCCCTGGCGGTCTGATTATGTCCATATTTCTGTGCTCAAACAGTAAATTTTTTTGCATGGAAATATGTATTTTTTTTATTCTACTCCTGTAATTTTTAGGAATAACTCACTGAAATCTGTCCGAACAAGAGTCTAGTAAACATCATGGGTATGATAAAATTTTAAAGACGAAATCATAAATTGTAATTTAATAAATAATCATAAAAAAATAATAATACAATAATAATAAATTTAATTCAATAATATAATCAAACCAAAAACAATGAAATTTGAAATATAGCTCCAAGTTCGCACATCAAGTCGCAAAATCGTTTTCAGTGTCTGATGCCAAATTTCCCCACAAATCATTATCACTCAATTCTGCAAGTGGTTCGGATTTACTATCGCTGTTCTCTAGCCGGTCTAAAACCGATTTTGACCTAAAAGGGATGCTTTTTGGACGCCATGGACATTTCTCAGTTTCCAGGCAGACAGAACAGTAAAAATGCAGGCAGGGCACAGGACAAAGCAGTCGGGACAAAATGTATGTGAAATGGTTTGATACAGTAATGTTTTACTATTTGATTTTAGTGTATTTAGTGAAGTCACTTTTTGTCATTTTCAAATTTCCCACCAGTTCCGTCCCCCATACGTCCCGACGCACGCAGGGGACGGAACCCAGAAGACAGATGCCGGCATCCGCCGGATTACATTGCTGGGGACACTGCAGGAGGGACATCGCGGGAGCGCAGGACAAGGTAAGTGAAGAACAGATGCCGGAGCAGCACCGCATGGTAAGCCCGAGTGTAGCTCGGGGTTACCGCTTTTGGTACTGAAACTTTACCCCAAGCTACACTCGGGAATACCGTCAGGGAGGCTACAGCAGTAGCTCCTTGGGATTTGTCCTTGGTACTGACTGCTCTGATAAAGGAGCCATTTGAGCTGTTTGTTCCCTGAAATACTCACTGATGAAAATTACTTTTTTGTTAGCGATCACTTCGGACCGGGGGGTGGGGGATTTACAGTCCATTTCCTGTAAAGATTTTTATTTATCGATTTTGGAAGATATGATAATTCTTAGGCCCGATCCTATGTATCTCCCAAAAGTGTCCTCGGACTTCCATCATTTTGGAGATCATTCTTCCCTCTTTTTGTAGTTCCCCCAAGAATGAAAGAGAAGAAAAAAATCAGTTTTTTTTTTTAGATGTAAGAAGATGCTTATTAAGCTATTTGGAAGTCTCAAGAGAGTTTAGGAGATCTAACCATCTCTTAATGCACCTAAAGGTTTTATTGCTAGATGGATTTGTGAAGCAATTTTGTCTGCGTACAAGAGCTTGGGCCAACAGCCTCCAGGGTGTGTGCACCATTCCACTATGGAGACATAATGGGCAGAGAGTGGGTGCCTCCTGGGGAGACATCTCAAGAACAGCAGCCTGGTCCAATAACCAGTGAAATAACCCTTCTTAGTGCTCTATAATGTAGATATAAAGTCCTAAAAAATATTCCAAAAATAAGTGAAAGTCCATAAAAATTCAAATCTTTCATATATCACCTTAATGTGTCCATAAATAATAAAGTCACTCAGAAAAAATTCATCCAATAGAAAAATTCATAAATCCTTCCGCAGAGCCCTCCATATAGCTCCAAAAAGGACGTGCACCTTAAAACAAAAGAAAACATATGTGCACTAATCACTCAAATTATTCAATACATGAACACATATGTGATAGTGAAACACTTGTGCATTAGTGATGGTGGGACACTCTGTGTACCAAAATATATACACTTCCCCATGACATTCAGTGTATACTTCTAAAATGACTGAATTCAATACCCTTACTAAATATATAAGGTAAGCAAACTGTTTTAAATCCAGAAGAGGGTACACATCTGCAATGTCCACATGGATGCCTTCAGATCCTTTGTATACACACTCCATGGTAATCATGCTCCATAGTATCCATAAAGAAAGAACAGACCCATATATTGCAACACTGTATGAAGGTACAAAAACACACTTTAATAATATCTCCTTACATTAAAATCACTTAAAAGCGCATTATTCCCATGACTCCAACCTCATGCAGCTTCCAGGAACACCAGGCAGCTCCAACAGTCTGCCTGATCCTGCGTCCTTCCTGACCACCAGCTGAATCACCCAGTAGGCCATAAGCTACAGTGGATATAAATAGTCTACACTTACCTGTTAAAATGTCAGGTTTCTGTGATTCTGGAGGCTGACAATGAAGAATCATGTATAGTGGGTGTAGAGGTGGAAAGGGAGGAGTGGAAGGAGGAGGAGAATTGTAATCCTTTTCCTACTGACGATTAGCAGTATGGTCCTAATCCCAATGAGCTGCGTGGTGAGAGGTCATGTGTCTCTTCATACATGTGGTACCCAAAACGGCCAACAGTATTGCCACACTTTATACATTTGGGCAGAGACTGAAAAAAACTTGAGCAGACTGGAGCCCAGTACCCATGGAACTCTGACATAAGGTGGATTAGGGTGGCTGCTCCCTCTGTGAGATACCACATCATTGACCAACCCCTCCATCCTGATTCCTGGAGCTAACTTGTCAGTATGTTGCATCAACATTCTCCTTGCCTGGTGTCTCTTCCCTCTATGCTCCTGTTGCTGTCCTCTGTCCTTCTGACCAGATGGGATAAATTGCTGTGCACCCTCTTGCATAAAATGGCTGACAGAGATCATATAAATTTGCAGACCTATTCATGCTAGCTGGATAGCTGTGGATGAGGAGCCAGAACAAGATGCTTTTGCAGCTGCCATAGATGGCAAGCTACTGCAAGTGTACGCAAAACAGAGGAGAAGGAAGATGAACGTTTGGTTAGCCAATCCACCACCTTCTCCACTTGCTCTGGGGGTATGCTCAGTACCAGAAAAGAAAGACATATGTGCCTTGTCTATAGATATTGCACCAAATCCATGGCCACTGATATGGCCTGTGGACACACAGGCAGTTAGCCTCCTCGAAGCTGCATCGGAACACCTTCTACCTCTCATACAGGATGATGATAATGCAAGGCTTATTCCCTACTTTATCAGCTATGGCAAGAGCTGTATGTGGGTGATCTGGTATGTGGTGATTGGGTGCCTTGGAAACTGTGGCGCCTTTGCCAAGTAGTCTGTACCACAATAGGGTGCTCCACTGCAAACAAAGGTCATCTTTTGTGGTATCACCAACAAACTCACACTGTCGTTGCTGCTGACCCCATCAAAATAAATAATCAGTAAGGCCAATTTTACATCTATGCAGGTTTGCGACCCACATTTTCACGGACATTTGAATGGGCTGCCATGCCCGCATTTCCTGCACCATTCTAAAAATGCAGCTGCCAGGTACTTTTGCTTCATATAATTTCTCTACGGTTCCCACACCGGCAAAGGAACTGTGTTTTTGAATATATGGGGATTCATTCTGAATGGTATCCCCACACATTTTGCCTGTAGGTGGTTGCAGGTATCGCTGCGATTCTTGCACTTGCAACCACCTGCTTAAACATGAACTAGGCTTGAGGCCTGGTTCACATCTATGCGGGTTTACGAGGGCACTGCAGCCCATTCATTTAAATGGGCTGGCATGCCTGCTTACCTTGTAGGAAAAAGGTTTCTGTACCATTCTAAAAATACAGCTGCCAGGAAAACACATGTGATTTCTCTGCGGTTCCTGCACCCATCAATGCGCTGCATTTTTAGATGCATGGGGGTGAAATTCAGAATGAATTGCTGCAATTCCCACACACATAGATGTGAACCAGCCCTAAGGCTAGGTTCACGGTTCACATCTCCGCGTTCCTGCAGGCCACGTTTTCACGGGCATGAGAGATCATTCATTTGAATGGATTCCCGTGTCCCAGAACATGCAGGAAGAAGACCCTGCACTTCTTCGGAAAATGCAGCATGCACAGAAACCTGAGGTTCCCAGTACGGTTGCGATTTCCAGTGCAGGCGGCGTGCCATTAGAATTAATGGCACCCTCCCGCGGGTCCGTATTCTTCTGTGTGGGTGGTTCGGCTGAACAGATTTTTGTGCGGATCTGCAGCGGCACCACCCGCACAGATGTGAACCAGGGATAAAGGACACTAACAAATGTAAACAAAACTAAATTGAGATTAAAAAAAACCCCATACACTGATCCTAAGACACTACAAGCAGAAAAATATAAAAAATGATTATAATTTTTATTAAAGAAACCCAACAAAACAGGAAAGTAAAAAAAATAATAATAATCCACTGAGACACACACACACACACTTGGGTCAATTCAAAGAGCAGTGAATGCAGATGGGCTTACACACTACCTTTCCTTGTTACATAAACTGCACTTCACTGCAAAGTATCATTAGCAAATATAAAGCATTAAATATAGGGCTGTAAAAAATGTACTGCAAAGCAGTAGTAGCACGCTACACTAACCAACACTCCTTAAACACAATACCAGCTAACCCTCACTCATGCTAAATTCCTAACAAGCTGACAAAGGGCTGCTAGGAAAACAGCCTTTTATAGTATGTGGGATGCAACTTAGCTCCAAACCATCATTGGTTAAAGTCCTGCACCTGACCAGACTTCAGGTGCAAGACTTAGGACAATGATTACGTTGACAATACATGTTTTTTAACCATAACCTTTGAAGCCCTTCTCACTTTAGCACAATTAGATCGCATGCACAATTTACCACAGCATGCTATGCATCAATACTTTCCTCTTTATGCCCAAAAGTGTCCCCCGTGGGGTTGCCACCTCATCCCTTTAAAACCAAGCACATATTAATTACACAGGTTCGGAGGCTAATTTAATTCAGATAATGCATTACCATCTTAATCAGCCACAGAACCTGTGTAATTAATATGTGGTTGGTTTTAATGGGATGAGGTGGCAACCCTAGTCCCAAATCTTTCACAAATCTAATTATGCTCCTGGATCACATATATGAGTAAAAATTATTTTTTTTAGTACTGTAGGAGACGGCTAGAACCCATGTCTGATTTTACATTTCTAAATCAGCCACTTAGGGTGTTCATGGCCAATAATGATACCATTTTATAGCTCATTCACATGAAAGGCTGGCAGGTGAACTTCATTATTACAATTTATTGAGGTTCCATTTTAAAGAGCATACTTTTAAAGTGCAAACAAAAAGTGCAAAACAACCCTTAATGCACCCTATAGCATTAATGAGCATTTTGGATGTGTTGCAGTGGCATTCAAGTTGCATCAGGCGATGCTCCTCAAATATCCAGTGAGATGGGTTTTTTTTTCCTTCGCTAAAATGAGAAATTATCAGTTTGATGAATTGAAACTGCACCAGAGATGTACTGTAAACTAATAGGTGCATTCACAGTGCGTTCACAGAACTCTTGTATTGCGTTTCAATAAAAGTGAGTGAAGGCAGTTACAAAGCATCAACGCCTGCCAAACTCTACAGGCAGTGTTACGTTTGCCTTGCTGTAAAGCAAGGCAATGCTAACATTGCAGTATGTACTCCTGCATCCACTCCCTATTTTAAACATTTTGAGTGGCATTGATAGGTGGTCAGGAAGAGGTAAAAACGCAACTCAACCACCAATTTTCAACATCTGTGTATGTAGCGCCCCTCTAGTTAGCCAAGAGGAACTAGCTAGGTTTCCTAGGCAGAGGCTGAATAGCAGCCTAGGACGAGTCAGCCAGGTTACTCCAGGTCAGGGCTTAGGGCTCTGCAGGTCAGTTCCCTGATACCTGCCCCTGCTATAGAAGCTTGTGAAGGTTCTAGAAAGCAGTGGGCAGGGGGGAGAGGAGGGCTGATCTGCATGTTTGAGGGATCTTGACCAATCTCCAAGCAGGAGGCTTGGCATGGGGTCAGGACAGCCCTCAGATATG